GATACTAGCTCCATGAACAGGAGGCTATAAAAAAGGAATAGTCAGAGATCAAGAAAGAGCTTTTCTTTTTTGAGAGAGAAAGTAAAAGAATGGAGTCAAAAGAAGAAGAAAGTCAAGGAAATCTCACCGACAATAAAAGGAAAAGACAAAAAGATAGGAAAGAGAAGAGAAAAAGTAAGAAAATGAGAAGATTGGAGCAGGAAGTCCACTATCTGAAGGACAAGAGTTCTAGAGAGAGGAGAGAACACGGAGGGGTAGCGAGCAGCAAAGAAATAACAGGAGAGAGAGGAGCGGAGGGGCTGCGGCGCGGAGGCGCTGGAGAGTGGCCAGAAACGGCCGACTCACTGGAGAAGGCGCTGTCCCGGAGGCCGGGGTTCTTGGACACGGGAGCTGGTGGGACGACGGTGCTGGCGGTGGTGGTCGGGGCAGGGTCAGGAAGCACAACCCTGTGGGGAGGTCAAGAGGAAGGTGAGCGAGGACCCCCGGCCTCAGCCCCCTCCTCCCGCCTGGCCACTCACAAGTAGCCCTCGTTGTGATAGTCCTCCTCATCCTCGTCGTCCTCCGCGTCCTCACAGACCGGCTCTGGGGGTAACGACACAGGGGTCAGCAAAGCCCAGAGCAGGCCTCAGCCTCCCCCGAGCGAGGGCACCCGGCCCAGACGCACCCTCATTCTCATAGCTCGCCACACTGTTGGCTGCAAAGAGAGAGTGAGGGAGACTGTGTCAGCTCAGGCAGGGCCTAGCCTCCGCGCAGCCCCAGCCCCCAGGCCCTGCTCCATGCTTACCACCATCCGAGCCTTGCCGGGAAGATGGCATGTGGTGGGAGCCCCCGGGGGGCTGTGGGGATCTCCTGGAAGTCAAAGGTTAGAGGTCATGCTGGGGTGGGGCTCTGGGACAACAGGGGTTATAAGAGGGAAAGAGGCCCCAATCCAAGGAGGTGAGGAGTAAAGCGGGGAATCTGGAGAAGAAGGGGCTACTTACGGGATGGGGAGCAGGTCTGGCTGGCTCAGGGGTGGAAATGAGGTAACAGGCGGGTAGGAAGTGGCTGGTGGCCATGGGACAAGTGTTGCTGAGGACACAGGACCAAGTTGAAGGAACGACTCCAGACATCACGCCCCTACCTTCGTTGAGGCCTCAGGGGCAGGCTAACCCCTGAAACCCCCATGCCCTGGACAGGCCTAAGGGCACCCATTTCCCTCCCCATCCCCAGCTCAGGTCAAGGCCATGTGGACACCACAGGGGGAATCTGAACAAAGGCACACGCTCTCTCATACTCCAGGGGACCCTCTCTCCTACCCTCAAGGGAGGGACCCTCCGTGTACTCACGAGGCCGTTTGATCACGATGCTGCTTGGGGTCAAGCTAGCAGGAGAGACACAGCTGGAGAAATGGCCAGGAGAGGCCCAGCCAGCCTCCCAGCCCAGCCCCACACGGGTACTGAGAGAGACGCAGGGTCAATGGGGCGACTCACCTATCAGTGGCAGCACTGTCATATGAGCCTGGGGGAAGAGAGGGCTGGTGAGGCAGGAAAAGGGAATGAAGAGGGTTGAGGGTGATGGCGTCGGGTGCTCTCAGCGTCTCCGCGCGCAGGACAGAATTAGGGAAGGTTAAAGACGGAGTAAGGGGTTGGGGGGGCGGGGTGAGGACCCCTGTCAGTGTGTCCAAACATTGGGTCACCCCACAAGCTCCCACTCACCTGGCAGCTCTCGGCAGCGCACACACAGTGCCATCAGCAACACGGCCAAGAGAGGCAGCAGCAGGGGGCCCAGCACGGAGGGGATCAGGATGGCCGCCTCCATCTGCAGGAGAGAGCTTGGACCAGGCCTGGCTGCTCGCCACAGGCCCCTCGGGGCAGAGCTGGTGCAGGGCAAGGAGTGGGCCGGCAGGGTGCAGGGCCCAGCAGGTACCAGGCTGGAGCTGGGTGGGGGGCAGCTGTGCCCTGCTTGGGGGCCCTGGATCGCCCCCCCTTGCTAGGCTGACTGGGGGTCAGGACTGGCTCTGGAAGACCCTTGATCCCAGGGCAGCCAAGCCAAGGCCTGGGCTGGAGTCTGGGGCACCAGCCACCCTGCGTGGACCCTGCACCCCAGCCCTACCTGCCCCTCTGTTCGACACCCGGCTCTCCTCCGCACCCGCCTGCAGCAGGAAGCTGTGGTGAGGCCGGGTGAGGGCAGGAAATCATCCGGCTCCTCAGCCGGCTTCACCCGCCCCCTTCCCACCCCCACCTAGCCAGTGGGGAGGGGGAGGAAGAGGCCCAAGGAGCCGCCCCCAGGCCCTCAAGAAGGGTCTACTGGCCTCCAGGACAAGTGGCAACTCATACCAGCAGGAGGAGGGGAGACTGGCAGGCCAGCAGCCGGAGCCTCCACAGCCACGGCCCAAGAAGGCAGCAGGGAGGGAGGCTCTGCCACTGGGAATCCAGAGAGGCACAGAGCACTGGCCACCCCCACCCCTCCTTTGGCCGACCTGCCAAGACGGGCAGGCTCTGGGGGAAACGTGAGCATGACTCATGGTCACACCAAGCCAGCTCACTCCACCCTCTCATTCACGCAGCCCCGAAGGGCCAGGATTTGCCCAAGGCCCCACAGGAGTGACCCAACAGCCCCCGGGAGCCCTTGGACCCTGGGGCCAGAGATGGGCATCCCCTGCAGGCCAGACGTCAGAAGTCACTAGCACCCAGAGAGACTCAACAGGCACTTGGGGTCTGGCTACAAATTTTATTTAGTTACAAATAGCACCGAGCCCCTGGGGCTGCTCCAGTGGAGGGGGACCACCCTCCCAGACCCCCACCACCCCTCGCTTGGCTACCCGTGTAGTGTGTGGGAGCTGGAACACGGCCCAAGGCTCCTCCCAGAAGCTGGGCCAGGCTGAGGGTTTGGGCCCGGCACCTCATGGGGTAGGTGTGCAGGTGGGTGAGTGACAGCCCCTCAGATGAGCACACTGGACACAGGTACCCGGGTGGAGCGGCCTCGCTGGGGCACCACAATACGGTCATCTGTGGGCCCTGCCTCACGTAGCAGACCTGCCAGGAAGGGGTCAGAGCCAGGGCTGGATGCACAGATAGACTCAAAGCCAGGGAGGAGACCGAGAGGCAGTGGGCACTGGACAAGGCAGCAGAGCCACCAGGGCTGTGGACACACGGGCGTCAGCTTGTTGGACAGGCAGACGTGAAGCTGGATGAGGGGAGGGCTATGGACTGAGGGATGACACACACACAGGACTGGACAGACGGATGGATGGACAAGCAGGGCAAGGAGCTGTGGATAGACAGAGGGAAGGCCCAACTGACCCTGCACATGCAAGTGGGCTCGCTGACGGTCACCCTCAATGAAGATGGCAGTGCCCAGGAAGGCTGCACCACCCAGCGCCCCGACGAAGGCGCACAGCATGAGCGAGAACTGCAGGGCCCGGAACTCGGACAAGAAGGAGGGTGGCCAGCGCCGGCGGAGGCGGTCGGAGATCTGCCAGAGACAGGAGAGGAAAGCCAGGAGACAGAGTCAGCGGCGCAGGGAGAGCCCCCGAACTCCAGAAGAACACAGACTGCAGCCAGGAAGGGCAGGAGGGCTGGACCGCCAGGTGAGCTCTGTGGCCTCACTGTGGGACTCTGCCAGGACAAAATCCTTCCTGTCCAGTTAAGGATCCAAGGTGAAGGGGGACTGGCACAGAGGGCGCAGACGCCTAACTGGGGCCTTCCAACGTGGCTCAGGCTCAGGCCGGTGGCTACCAGCTGGTGCTGGGAACACAGGGTCCCCTGACCCCCACCCCAGGCCAAGCCAAGGGGCAGTGCTCACCAGGCCAATGAGGTAGGGGCTCCCAGCATCACCCAGCAGGTGGGACAGCACAATCTGGAAGGCCTCGGCGGTAGAACGTCGTGTGGGGATCACCACGTACTGGGGGGAGGAGGGGCAGGAGGCAGAGGCTGAGGACAGGGCGAAGGCTCAGCCTGGGCTGAGGTCAGAGGTGAACCCCAGCTCAGACGTGTGACTGGGGTGCAGGGCAGGCCAAGACTACAAGCCCATCGGGGGCTGGACTCTGAAGTCAGTCTGGGGCTGGTTTTGAAAATGAAATAAAGGCCACAATTCAAGGGAAGTGAGACCTCCTGCCCCCACTCCCTGTTCTCATCAGCCTCTGGGCTAACCCTGGAGTGGCCCAGCTACTCACCAGCAGAATGTCAGCCACAATGGCCCAGTTCATGGACAGCAGTGTCTCTCCAACAAAGATGAAAATCTGGGGGATGGGGGAGTCTTCATCACAAGAAGACCAAACACATGGACGGTTTACCATGTACCAGGCTCATCTGTTAACTCATTTAATCCTCACAACACCTCTATGAGACAGATACTACTATTATTCCCATTTTACAGATGATGAAACCGAGCACAGAGAGGTTAAGTGACTTGCCCAATGCACACAGCTAGGAAGGGCCAGAGCTGAGATGCAAAACCAGGCATTCCTGCTCCAGAGTCAGCTCTGAACCACTATGCTGGTTGACCCCAGTCCTGCCCCAGTGCCCTGTTCCTCCATCTTGGATCCACGACACCCCCCTTGATACCTGCTGGCTACTCACATAGGTGGCCACGATGCTACCACGGGCACAGGCAAGAGAGAGGAAGAGGAAGGGTGCGGAGCCCAGGAGGCCAGCAGCACAGACGAGTGGGTCAGCCCGGGGGTTGGAGCGGCGGAGGCGGCGGCTGACCTCCACACCCAGGCCCACACCCAGGACCCCAGTCAGGCAGGTGATGAGCCCGAAGATGAGGCTGGGGGGAGGGGTGTGGATGGGGGTTGGACCCTCTGCCTGCAAAGCCCCCTAGCCTCACCCCCACAGCCTGGAGAGGAAGCTGGTGCATCCCAAGCCCCCTCACAACCCAGGTCCATCTAGGCACAGACCTCATGGTTCACAGAGCTCCCAGATGAAGGCATCACCCCATCACCTGCTTCCCAGACCAGGAAACGGAGCCTCGGGGAGAGGAAGCAGCTTCTGGAGCTGGGGTTCAAACTCTCCCCGCCTGAGCCTGAGCTGCAGACTCTCTCCACTCCATCCCCTGCCACCTGCAGGCCACCCAGCCCAGCCTCAATCTGGGTACCTGTCAGAGGAAGAGCAGGAGTCTCCAGGAAGGCAGGGTGGGGTCTCCCCCAAGACCACACGGGAACGCAGCAAGAACGCAGGAGCCCAGAGAGCCAGGGAGCCCGTGACAAAGGCCACAGCAGTGAAGCCCAGGGAAGACAGGATGAAACTAGGGCTGCACACAGGTGGGAGGGAGGAGTCAGACTCCACTGAGGTGTCAGGGTAGGAGATCTCTGTTCACCCTTCCTGGCTTATTTTAATAGGGTCAGGGCCCTGGCTGTGGAGGCTGTCCTGGCTCCCAGGATCTGGGCCTGTAATTCAAGCTGCTGCCACAAGGAGGCAGTGGTGACTGAATTCCGGGCTGAGGGGTAGGGCCAGCTGACAAAAAAGTAAATGAAGACCACACCCATGTAAATCTCAAACTAGACGTCAGGATTCCCCTGGGGGCCCCAGATGTTGGGCCAGGATGGAACTAAACTCACTTTCTTGCCAGAGCCCTCAGATCCGCCCACCACGAGGTGGGGTTTAAGGGTGGTGAGTCCAAGTGGCGCTCCACAGCCCCTCTTGGCGGCTCCCGTACTACCAGGAACAGCAGCAGAACAGCCACCACTCCTAGACCTGGTGTCACCTAGGGGAAGAGTGGGCTTCAGGACACGCACAGGCAGGGACACACTCAACCCTGGGGCTGGGAGAAAGTGAGGGGGTGGTAAGGCAACTCAGGCCCCAAGACCTCAAACACCTGGGTAAGTGTCTGCTCAAGGAAGCTGAACCTGCAACTGGGGAGAGAGGCAAATGCCACTAGGGGCCCATGTCTGCAAGCCTAGCTGCTCCCTCTTTGCTAACAGTACTCTAATCTTCTTTGGGGAAACCACTCCCCCTTTTTTCAATCCACCTAGCGCAAACAGGGCAGGGCTTGGCCAAGAACAGTAGTGTTAACCTCCCAGCCTCCATGATTGATTCAGTGGCAGGCATGTGACCCATGTTCATTTAATCAGACGCCATCCAGACTATTGCCCAAGTATTTAGGGTGCCAGTGTTTCTAAATGGGAAGATAAACACGTGGAGCTTTCCTTTGCTTGAGAATGAAGTTAACACAGAAGAGAGTAGAGCTGAGAAAAGGATGATCCTGTGAAGTGTGGGAGTCCTGGATCCAGCTTTACCTGAAGCCCATCCTGGGACTTTCCATTATGAAGCCAAGACAGTCCCATTTTGGGGCTTACAGTTTTACAATGGGCTTCTGTCACCTGCAACCAAGAGTTGTGGCTTGGTTGCATGTGACATGGCTTCATGGTGAAGGCATCCGGGCTTCCTGAAGGCTTGAAAGAGTGAGTGCTGCCTCAAAAGGGGAATGTCTGAAGGTAGGAGAGGGGCATCAGTGATAATGCTGCTGACCCTCCACAGGCCGTGACTGGACTCACCCTCAGAGCCCAGTGCCAGTCACCAGCCACATCCTTCACTTTGGAACCTGCAATATAACCCAGCCCACTGGGGGAAGGGGGTGGGAAAGGAGAGGAGACAGCTGGTCAGCCGTGTCCCCCACGCCAGGCCCTTCTGCCTCCCTACCAGGCCCCAGGTCCACTCACCTGCCCACTGGGATGGCGAAGTAGAAGACGCTGAGCATCCGACTCCGCTGGTCCGCCACGAAGAGGTCAGCGATGAGAGTGGGTGCGATGGTGGAGTAACTGGCCTCCCCGACCCCCACTAGGCCCCGGGTCAGAAGAAGCAGCCAGAATCGCTGAGGAAGGAGACATGGGGGAGGTGGCACCCCACCCTGCAGCCAGCCTCCCAGCCTACCTCACCAGCCGGCTCTGGAGAGGCAGCAGGGACGGCGGGAGAGAACTGGGTTTTAGAATCAGACAGACCTGAGCTTGAATCCTGGCTCCACTACTTACTAGCTGTGACTTTGGGAAAGCAACTTAACCTCTCTGAGCCTCAGTTTCCTCATCTGCAAAAGGTGGATAATAACAACTTGTTCACATAACTATTGTGAGGATGGGACAAGAAAAAGTACCCAGTAGGTACAAAAATAAATCTTAACTTCTATCTTGCCCACCCCACCCAAGATACCCCAAGGGGGCATGATGATCTTAGGTAGGGGGGCTATTTGTCTAACAGACACTTGAAGCTAAAACAGGGTACCATCACCCACAGAGAGTACGCAGTACCTGGGACTGGGCTGAGGACAGAGTCCTGGGGCAGAGAGTGAGAACAGACAAAGGAGATTTCAAAGGAGCAAAGAAGCAACAACCAGGAGGCAGGAGGAAAACCAGAAGAGTGGCATCACAGATGTTAGAAGAGGGTTTCCGGAAGAAAGAAGTGGGTCAATAGAGCCAGAGCCTCCCAGGAGATATAGCGCGAGCAGGACTACAAAGTAGGAGCTACACTTAGCAACCAAGAGGTCATTGTTGACTTTGGCAATGGAGTGGTGGCGGCAGGTCAGCCAGCAGCGCTCAAGGTGGGAGCAGGAGAAGAGGAAGTGCAGGCAGAGTGAGAGCCTCTCCCTGGGTGCCCTCACCCAGACCGGAGCTAGGTTAAGGGGGCCTCTCGGGAAGTCTGACTAGGAAGGAGGGGAGGGAGGGAGGGAGGGAGGGCAATCCAGGTAATGTCTTCTCCATGGTAGAGAAATGTGAGTGTTTAGGTGTAGAGTGGAAAGAGTCAATGGTCAGGGAGAGAGGGGATGATGGACAGAAGAAGGTTCTGGAAGAAAAGGGGAGAGGACGGCGTGGGCGGATTAACTCAGGCAAGCAGCAGGTATAAGATGGCATAGACCAAGGCAACTGAAGAAGTTCCCCAGGCCCAGTCTGAAAGGATTCCCAGGAGCAGCAGCAAAGATTGATGGGGGAGGGAGGAGGGACCGGAAGAAGGAACCAGCACGGGGCCTACCTCTCTGGGGATGAAGGACGACCCCAGTGTCACCAGGGACCAGAAGGCAATGCCCCCGCACATGAGGTACTTCCGATTGTACCTGTCACCCAGGTAGCCAAACACAGGCGCCAACACCATGTAACTGGAGATGAACACTGGGGGGAAGCAGAGAGTCACGGCCCAGCCCAGCACACCTACCCTCCAACCCCCACTCCAGCGTAGGGAGGGAGAGCGGGGGCAGCAATAACCACAGAAGAACAGATCCCCAAGCTTCTCCTCACCAAGAGCTCATACCCGCCGCATATCCCAACCCTGAAACCGCCAGAGCTCCCAGCCCCATCTTCCATGTTGTTCAGACCTTCCACTGTAGAATGGATGGCCCAGCTGACTTGTCTCTTTCTCCTATCGAGCCGAGAACAAAATCCAAACTCCACACCAGGGAGTTCGGTCATCTAGTCCCTCCCTACCTCTCCAACCTCCTGTTCAACCACTTTCCCTTCTCCGTACCCCAACGGCCCAAGTGCCAACCTCAATACCATCTTAGGGTTTTTACACCTGCTGTCCTCTCCATCTGGAACATTCTATCCTCTACCCTGAACTTCACAGAGCTTAGCTCCTTGAGGTTCCAGCTCAGACACCTTCCCAACCACCACACATCCAGTCCCTCTCTTTTCTTTTTTTTTACTCTTTTCTTTTACATAACCACTTTTCTTATAGAAAATCATCTCATCATTAGTTTAGGTTTTTATGAACTGTTCCCCTCATGCACAGAATGTTGACTTCATGAAGACAAGGACCTTGCCTGTATTGGCCATGACTGCGTTTCCATCACTAACACATGGCCTAGCACAAAACAGGTGCTCAATAAACACGTGTGGAATGAAAAAATGAGTAAGGCTGTTGAGAAAAACTCGCTTCTTCTCTAAGTAACTCTTTAGAGCTTTGCAGACCTTGACTTATGATCTCATTCTCATTTCTCCAAAAACTTTGCCTTAAATACTTCCAGCTCCTTATTGGCCTGGAGTGGAGTAAAGAATACTGCAAGATCTGGTTTCAAATTCCTGTTCTGATTCTAACTTGTTGTGTGACGCTGGGCAAGTCTTAACTCATCTCCAAGCCTCAGTTTCCTTATAAAAACGTAGATAATATTATCTGCTTCCTCTATAAAATAAGAATAATAACACCTATTTCTTGACTGATGGAAGGATTAGAAGACAATGGGCATAAAAGGTCTTGGGCAAGTTCTGTAGACGTTATCGCCACCTCCTCCGGGGCCTGGCACAGTGCAGGTGCTCAGAAACATTCAAGAAATGAGGGAAGAAGGGACGAAGGAAAAGAGGATTTGGTCCTGGCTTTGCTTCTCCCACAAATCCCAAAGTCCTGAACAAGTAAAGCTCATCTCTCCCAATTCCAGACGCCCTCTCTCGCCATCATTTATGGGGTGCCTACCATGTCCCCAACACTGCACTGTGAACTTCACAGGCATTATCACATTTAATCCTCACATCAGCCCCATGAGGTCATCAGGGTTATTACCAGTTCCATCTCACCCACAAGGAAACTGAGGCTTAGAGACGCTGAGGGCCTTGCCTACCATCACACTGTAAGCGGAAAGCTGAGATTGCAACCCAGGTCTGTTTTAACTATCACTCGAAACTAACTCCTCTTTAAATGTGGTGTCCCCCCTAAACAGAACAGCCCCAGAGCCATCTCCTCCCCTAGCTCTGGCCACTGTACCTCCACTAAGAGGCCCCAGGCAGCCCGCATGGGGCCCCGACTAGGGTAGAAAAGGCAGAAGAGCCGCTGTGTGCCCAGGCAGAGTCTGCACTCACCGGTCTGGATGAGGCCCGAGCTACTGTCTCCAATGTTGAAGAACTGCTCGATGTCTGGAAGGACGCCTGGGAAACAGACTCAGGATGGGCTCCGCCAGGTAGCCTCACCTTCAGGACCCCGCTCCCTCCCCTCGTCTAACTTTCTCCCAGAAGTCGGTACCAGCCACGGTGAAGCGGTCCATATAGTTGAGAAGGTTGATGTAGCACAGCACGGCCACTATGAGAGCCGAGCGGCCCGAAGACAAGCCCGTGATGCGCTGCAGCCCCTCCCGGTCCGGGACCTCGGGATCCTCGGACTTCGGGTTCCCCGGGGCCCCCGGTAACCCAGGGGTGCCGGGAAGCAGCCCGTCGTCCGTGTCATCCGC